CCCCCATCTCCACACAGCTCCAGCAGGCCCTCAAGGCGGAGTGCGACAAGTTCCAGGACCGCATCGCTGCTGCCACGGCCGACGCCGCTCCTGGCACCCTGGCCGGCGTCCTCGGCGACTTCTACACCCTGGTCCAGACTCAGATGGCCAGCCCGGAGGTCTCGCCCAAGGACCTGCTCAAGGCCACCGATGACCTGCGCAATGACATCCTCCCCGAGCTGGGTGTCACCCTGGAGGACTTTGCCGGCTCGCCCAGCACCTTCAAGGTCTTCTGCCCGGACGAGATGCTCCGCAGCCTGACCATGTCCCGCCGCGTATGTTGCCTTCTCCTGTGTACTCGTTGCTCCGCGCCACCCGCTGACTCCTTCTCTCCTTGTGTCCCTGCTTCTCGCCTCCCCCCCCCCCCCCCCCCCCCCCCCGACCACCCCCCCCCCCCCCCCCCCCCCCCCCCCGCCTGCTCCCGTCATGTAGATGGCCAAGAACCCGGCCCTCATCAAGCAGCTCCGCACGCGCGTGCGCGAGGGGCGCCTCCATCCGGATGAGTACTTCATCAAGAACCCCAAGTTCAACAACGCCTTCTCCTTCTTCTCGGAGGCCGGCTTCCCCCTGCTGGATGCCAATCTGGCCCCCATCTCGGCCGAGAATGTGGCCGCCTACACCGAGGAGCTCCAGCTCTACAAGAGCCTCTTCTGGGCTCTGGAGCCGACTGCCTAAGGGGGGCATGTGCACTTGCGGCCGGGCGCATCTGCGGCAGCCGCGCCGAGGCCCCTCTGCTTCCCGGGCCCCGCCCGCGTCTCTTTCGCCGTGGCCCTCGTGGCGGCCCCCCAGTCCTGGATGCCGACGTCCTCCTCGCTCTCCTCTGTCCACCGGCCGGTGCATGGATTTCCGTAGCCGAGAGCAGGCCCCCACCTCCCCCCCTCTCTCTGTATTGCCCCCCACCCCTCCCCCCCCACCCCCTGTCCTGGGGGGGAGGGGGGGGGGCTGTTCCCTTTGCACCTTCATAAACACACGCTTGGCCGGGTCCGCGTCCTGGTTTTGGATGGTTTTCTATTCTACATGCGGCGCTTGGGGTGCTCCGTCAATCGCCGGGCTGCGACGGGGCGGGGGGCAGTTTGACCCGGGTGCGCATGGCCGCCACGCACTCGCTCCAGGCGAGGATGGCCAAGCAGCCCGGCGTGCCGGGGTCGTGGGTCACGCGCGCGGTTGACCAACACCGGCCGGCGGTCGGCAGCAGCAGCCCCTCGCCAGGCGTGGCGCCAGCTGCCGGGCCCAGCAGGAAGAGGGCCCCGCAGCGTGGGTGTGCCGGGGCCCGGCAGGTGGGGCATTCCACAAAGAAGCGCCCATCCGGGCCGAAGGCACAGGCCGGCGGCCGTCCACCGGCGGCAGGACCCGGCACGCCGGCCTCATCCAGGAGCAGAGCCGCATCGAGGCCCAGCTGGCGAGCCACCTCGGCCCCGGGCCCGGGAGGGGCCCGATGCGGCGCCAATGGCGGCACATCACGCAGGTCCCGCCAACATACCGAGCAGCGTGGCTCCTCCGGATCGGGGGCCATGGCCGGGGGGTTCCACGCTGGGGAGTGGCACCATGGTTAGGATTGGTCGAGCAGGCAGGTGACGCTCCCCCCGCCCCCCTCCCCTCAGGGCCAGGTCCCGGCGGAGGAGTGCCCACCACAAGCTACCGGCACCAGGGCATGCCGGGGGATGTGCCGGGCCATCATCCCCCCCCCCCCCCCCGGGCCCGCGAGGGCACCAACACACGCGCACCTTCACCCGAGCCGGTGGTCGGGAAGCGGAAGGGCAGCTGGTCAATCGGTCCAAAGGCCGGCTCCGGGGCCCAGGCCGCGCTCTTGCCAGCCAGTTCCCGTGCCCGAGCCATCAGCTGCCCCAGGAGCCGGCGTTCCCGGTCCCCGAGCGCCGGAAGACCATGCACACGCAGCGGCAGGCAACGCCATGCCGGCCGAGCCAGCAGCCCAGCCAGGGCCCGCAGGCGCCCGGTCACGCCACCCGCGGCCGGGCGTTTGCCCGGCTTCGGCGCCCGGGGGAGTGCCGCCGGCAGCGCATCCTCCGAGGCCCCGGTCAAGTGCCGGCTTCGGTGGGGATTCTGCCATGCCCACTCAAACTGCAGGGCCGCCAGCCGACTGGGGAAACCATACACCAGGGCCACCATCTCCCTGCCGACACCAGGGGGACAGCATGGTCGGTGCGCAGGCGCGGGAGAGCGTCAGTGGGATACTGTCCGGGGGAGGAGGGGGAGGAGGGG